CTTCGAGCAGAGAAGACTGAGGGGTGATCTGATTGAGGTTTACAAAGTTCTGACTGGTATAGACAGGATAAATGGGGAGAAACATTTCCCCTTAGTAGAAAGGGCACGACCTAATTAAGAAGGGGTTTGGAATTTAGAATTTCTTTTTTAGCTGTACGGTTGTGAGCATCTGGAACTCATTGCCTAAGAGGATGGTAAAGGTGGGAACCCTCAAAATATTTAAGAACTATTTAGATGAACACGTGAAATGCCATAGCTTATAAAGCTATTGACCAAGTTTGGAAAGTGGGATGAGAACAGATGACTATTTAATTACTAGCATGGACAAGATCAGCTGAAGGGTCTTTGTCCGTGCTATAAACACTTTAGGACTCAATAAGAGAAAAGATTATCCTACTTGTGTCACAACAGGCGAACTCTTGCTATATGGGTTGAATCAGTGCAAAGCGGTGCACCCTGTGGTATATCAAGAGTATGGCTTTGCTCATTTGATGTTGAAAAGAAAGATGTTTTTCACTCAGCCAAGACTTCATGTCAGTTAAACAATATAATGACTTGATGGTAGTCCGGGTAACAGAGAGGATAAGTTGATGAATCGGAGTACATGTGGAAACTGACCCCGTCTATAGGACTGTGTCCCAAAAAGGTGCATGCAGTTCAGTAAGGAAGGAGTCTGAGAATTGATACATAAAACCGCTTAGAAGTCATGCAGCAGAGAAGAGAGCATCATTTGGGAGCAAGGAGCATAAACAGAGTTCACTGATTTTAGAGCAGGATTTCCCAAACTGTGGATCATCTCTCCAGCAAACAAACAATTGAGGATTTTGGGCATAAACTTGGAGGCAACAAGTGTTGTCGTGGAGCTCAGGCTGATTTCTCTTTTTAGTTTTTTTTTTGCTTACATTGACACGGCCTAATGGAGTGCTTTTTGTGGGCTGATAGCTGGATCACACCTTCCCTTCCAAGAATTCGCTCAACAAGTGAAACCTATTCTCCCACGAACAACTTCTGTACGTGTCCCAAATAATACTTTGCCTTTTTGTTGGGGTGGGGTGTCACTGTGCAATGATAAAATTTAAACACCAGTTTAACAAAAAAAATGTGGAAGCTTCAATCTGGACAAAGCCGTAATGATTTCCATTGTGAATATGTGTTGTGCATCCTTGCATTACAAAATGTTAAGGACTATTTTGCATTAGCAGAATAACATGCAAATTAGTAGATTGCATTGAAACATGATTAACATAAACTGATGGCATTTGTGATACAAGGCAAACAGCAGTGAGTCTTGGCAGTTTGAATGGGACGCTAAGTTACGGTAGTATACTTAGAATGCAGTAGTTTTATTAGAGATGCCTTGAGTCTTTCTAAGAGTGTGCATTTTATGATTGACAGGGAAGACCCTTGAGTAACCTTAGTTGCTCTTTGAACATTAGTTATTTCTGTTGTGTGCTCCAGAATGGCTCCATTGCAAACAGTGAGACTGGAATGTCAAACCTACTTGAATGTCAGGAAGCAAAGTGATGAATTGGAATTTGTTTGTTGTCATTTGAAATGAAAAGATTCTGCAATTTATTGGGGTGGTACCCGACAGTTGATGTCATCAGAGGGATCCTCAAGGGTGATATTGTTCTTGAGTTTTTTTGGTCAGTTGTTATTTATTTTATATTTGAATATTTATGTTGAGACTATTATTCTCGCTTCAGGGGCCAAAGCAAGTCCAAAATTCTTTGCCCACTCGAGCTATTCATGATTGCCTTGTCTTCCAATTTGCTTCCCCGTTAATTAAGTAATGCATCATGATTAGTCCACCAGGTATTGCCTAGCACTTGTTCAGACGAGTAGAAGTTTCAATTGAATGTGAAGAATCATGAGATAAAACTCATTTTGCATTGATCCTTCTGGAATTAACACTTGAGGTTTCCAAGCTGTCAGTGTAACATCTGGTTAATTCTAAAATGATGGCAAAAGTATTGCCACTGCTGGTTTATGGATGAGGTCATTCTGTTTGTTTTTGGGTAGAGCTTTCTGATGTCGGTGTTGCTTTGACTTTAACTTTGTTTTTATTTTAATTTTAATTTTAATTTTAACTGGTGTTCATGCAAAGCTCAGTATAATTACATTTTCCATTATATTTTACTTTATCAGTTGTATTTTTCCGCTTGCATTAGGTTTGTCTCATGATCAAAATCCAAGAACCTCTCATTCTGGATTTACTGACATCACACTGATTGTAGCGTTACAGAAAGGCAGCTCACCACCACCCTCAAGGGCAATTAGGAATGGACAATACATGTTGGATGAATCAGTAGCTGCTGCATCCCATGTCTCAAGGGGTGGGGAGGGGGTTGAATACAAATTTGAAAAAATTGGCTGTCAACTCTCGATGCCTGCTTCCTCCTTTACTTGTGATTTTGGTAACAACAGCTTTCTTGGTCCTGTGAGGGAGTAGAAACCTGTTTAAAAGGTAAGGGAAAGATAGATTTGGAGGCAGCAGCATGTTCAAGGAGAGAGATAGTAGGAACTGCAGATGCTGGAGAATCCGAGACAACAAGGTGCAGGGCTGGATGAACACAGCAGGCCAAGCAGCATCATAGGAGCAGAGAGGCTGACGTTTCGGGCCTAGACCCTTCATCAGAAAAGGGGGAGGGGAAGGGGGTTCTGAAATAAATAGGGAGAGTGGGAGGCGGATAGAAGAGGGATAGAGGAGAGGATAGGTGGAGAGGAAACAAACAGGTCGAAGAGGCGGGGATGGAGCCAGTAAAGGTGAGTGTAGGTGGGGAGTTAGGGAGGGGATAGGTCAGTCCAGGGAGGACAGACAGGTCAAGGGGGCGGGATGAGGTTAGTCGGTAGGAGATGGGGGTGCGGCTTGAGGTGGGGACGAGCTCGACTGGTTTTGGGATGCGGTAGGGGGAGGGGAGATTTTGAAGCTTGTGAAATCCACATTGATACCATTGGGCTGCAGGGTTCGTTCAAGGACTTGGGAGAGGAAAGGGAAGGTTGAGATTGTGTTACAATCGGGTGAGGACAGGTGAATTGACTCTGTACTTTTCAACCTCCCTGGCTTGTCACAACAAAACTTAAAGCTGCATGTGAAAACCAATTTACATCTTTCCTCGGTTAAAATGTAGTTGACTGGTTTTCACAGATATGGTCAAGAGCCAATCTCAAGATTTTTAAAGGAAAAGAAGAGAAATTTTTATTGCCTGTTAACCTAAAGTCGAGTGGTGATATCAAGCATATGCACAGCCACAAAGCTAAAAAGGAATAATGTCCAACACAAACGGAACATGAAAAGAATTTACAGTTTCAAGTCCTTAATGTGTCTTTGAAGTAAAAGATTTTAAACTGAGACCACAGTTGTTTAATTGGTGATTTGAATCATTAAAAGTAGCAAGTATTTCAATTATTTTAATTTGTGGCATTCTGATGTTTTTTTCTGATCAGTATTGTCACTGGGCACTTTTCTTGAAACAGAGAAGGCATTTTCTTCAAATTGTGGAATTATCAAAAATAAATCTTCTGCTGTAGCTTGTTGAAATACTTGCCTTCTATTTTCCAAAATTGATTGCTTAGGTTTGCTAATTATAGGCAAGGTCCCCTCTCAAATATATAGAAATTCATATAAAGGTCTAAATCAAGATAGTTGAGAGCCTTTCACATCTGATTGATTGATTGAGTTGGAGTTTCAGAGCATTTAATTAAAATGCTAATTTCAATTCAGATGGGTTTGTTTGTTCCATGTTGGTTTCATGCAACTTGACTAACTTATGTGGGCAGGTGATTGCTGTGACCATTTTAAGTCTGTTTTGTCCCTTTAAATGCATTTCTGTCTATAAAAGTCCCAGGTGCTAAAATCTCAGAATTCAAAAATCACTAAATCATATTTTATGATCATGGCAATAGGTTAATAGCTTGCAAAGGCATAGGAGTCAAGGATTTATTTTTGGGGAGGGGATAATAGACACAGGTTTTAAAGGAGGAGAGATGTTTAGTGGTGTGTAAGTTGTTGGAGATGATTCTGAAGGATCGGGTTTACATGCACTTGGAAAGGCAAGGACCGATTCAAGGATAGTCAACATGGCTTTTTGTGTGGAAAATTGTATCTCTAACTTGATTGAGTTTTTTTTTGAAGAAATGACAAAAGATTGAAGGCAGAGTGGTGGATGTTGTCTCTGGACTTAAGCAAGGTGTTCAACAAGGTTCGACGTGGTAGTCTGGTTAGTAAGGTTAGATCACGTGGAATCCGGGGAGAACTAGCCATTTGGATATAAAATTGGCTTGAAGGTAGGAGACAGAAGGTGATGGTGGAGAGTTGCTATTCAGACTGGAGGCCTGTGACCAGCAGTGCTGGGTCCACTGATTTTTGTCACTTATATAAATTATTTGGATGTGAATCTAGTGGAGGTGTGGTTGTAAGTTTGTAGATGACACCAAAATTGGTGGTATAGTGGACAGTGAAGAAGGTTATCTCCGAGTACAACAGGACCTTGATCAGATGGGTCAAGGAGTGGCAGATGGAGTTTAATTTATATAAATGAGGTTTTAGATTTTGATAAGGCAAATCAGGGCAGGACTTATACACTTAATGGTAGAGTCTTGGGGACGGTTGCCAAGCAAAGAGACCTTGGGGTGCAGGTTTGTAGTTCCTTGAAGGTGGAGTCACAAGTAGACAGGGTAGTGAAGAAGGTGATTGGTCAGTGTATTGAGCATAGCAGTTGGGATGTCGTGTTGTTAAGGATATTTTTTTGGCCACTTTTGGAATACTACATTCAATTCCAGTGTCCCTACTATGGGAAAGATGTTGTTAAACTTATAATTTCTTTCTGAACCCTTGCAAGGATGTTGCTGGGATTGGAAGATTTGAGTTATAAGGAGAGGCTGAATAGGCTGGGGCTATTTTTCCTGGAGTTTTGGAGGCTGAGGGGTGGCCTCATGGAGGTTGATTAAAATCCTGAGGGGCATGAATATGGTGAATAGCCAAGGTCATTCTTTCAAGAATGGGGAAGTCCAAAATGAAAGGATATAGGCTTAAGGTGAGAGGGGAAAGATTTAAAAGGGACCCAAGGGGCAACTTGTTCACGCAGCAGGTGGTGTGTGTGTGGAGTAAGCTGGTGGAGGCAGGTGCAATTACAACATTTAACATCCATCTGGATATGGGAAGGATATGGGCCAAATGGATTAGATTAATTCAGGATATCTGGTCAGCATTGACGAGTTGGACTGAAGAGGAGCCTGTGCTGTCCAGGTCTATGACTCTATCAACATTTGATTTATGTCAGCGAAGTAGAAACTTGAATAGTCAGCAATTCACCATGAATTGGGTTTGGATGGATTTCTAATTGGAGTGGAGGCAACTCATCCTTGATTCCAAGAAATTGCTTAAGATGAGACCAATCATTTCTCTTTTGCAGACTTCACAAAATGCAGCTGATGGTATTCTGATGCACTGCTGCCCTTAATCTTGTAGGTGGTGAACGTCATAAGTTTGGACAGCGCTGTTGAAGGAAACTTGCTAGTTGCATGTGTTGCTGCCGTGCTGTACTGGTTGATGTTAAAGGTACTGAATGTAAAACGTAATGGGTGAGGTAGTGATCAAATGAACTGCTTTGACTTGAATGATGATAACTCTCTTGAATGTTGTAATTTAGGCAAGTTGTAGTGTGCCCTCTCATCTGCATTCAAAGATCCCAATTTGATGCTGAGCCCAGAAGAAATGCTCAAGTCCATGACAAGAAACTTGGTTAAGGGAATCTTAAAAGGTAGATGCAGAGTGGGAAGTGATTCCAGAGCCTGGGTCATTGTGTTCAGCAATTGGCAATTTAAAATTGACTGTAAAATGCTTATAATGCATGTTTTCAGTCTTGATTTTTACAAGGAAACTAATTGCAATTTCACCTGTTTTTCTTGTTCAATAGTTAGTCCTGATTGACTGCCCCAGAAGCAAATCTGGGAAATTATTAGCAGAAGCCCGGCAATTTCTAAGAATTCTTTGATGCTTAAGACTGAAGCCTTTTGGTTAGCTGAGAAGGCCTTTTTTTTGCCTGCACTGGAAAAATTTGAAGGGGAATGTCTGGGTCTGCCTTCGCCTGCTAAGACTTGAATGCTGTCTAGAAATGTTGATGAGACTAACTTCATCCTTGTTCACCCTGCTTGGATGTGATACGGCAAGACTGTTAAATAGGAGGGGCGTACTGATTTGGATATTTGTATTTTATGGCAACTTTGTGAAAGTCTGTTGTGAAGTTTAACCTAGGACTGCAGCTACAGTATGGATTTTTTTACAGTAACTTTTATTTTGGTGTTCAGGATCTCTTATCATTCCATCAACTGATTATAAACTAATAGATTCATGTAGTAACAATACCTTCTATATTTGTACAGATGTATGTGGTATTTAAAATCTTAATGAAAAGCATTTACCTCTACTGTCAATAATTACCAACCCTTTGTTGTCATTCTGAAGTTAAACACATCAGGAAGGCATTAATTTCTGAAGTATCACCATATTTAAGACTGCAGTCATAAATTGATAAAACTTCTTTCAAATAACTGGAAAAATACAAAGGCATTACTCAAGATTCTGCAAGTCATGTCTAATGCATTTTTTTTCATATGTTCATACAGTTGACCTATTGGGTCAGTACCCTGGAATTCTCAAGCTAATATCCTTAGAGAAACTGCAAAAGTTCAAGGCAACCCACTAGCTTCTCTCAAGATGAGCATGGCTGCAGCCATACCAATGTCATCCACATCACCTAAGAATATTTAGCCCCATACGTCTGTTCTACCATTCAGCGAGATCACGTGATCTACAACCTCAGTCGATGTGCTCGATTTGTTCCCCATCACTTTCCACCTTGGGCTAATAAAAATGTATGATACTCTGCTTTAAAATCAAGAATGGACCTGAGCGTAAACTGACACTCGCAGAAAACGTTCCAAACGTCTCCCACTTGAACATATTTACACCCTAACCCGAGTTTCCATACTGCCGTAGGTCTAGTCGTCTTTGATTATGTAAACCATACGAAAATCTTCAAATATCAGAAATTTGTATCTGCATGAAGTTTAGATCAAGTCGCACTTTAACATTACAAATTACAGGGACAGCAAACAAGCACTCAAAGTACAGAGGGGCAGCAAGCAAATTGATCCTCCAAGTGACCTTGAAAATTTCATCACAGATGATTAGAGTAAAATTCTCCACGTACGTGCATACATCCATCCACATAATCTCTCTGACTCTTTCCCTCACCTGGTGGATGTGTGCCCCTCCCCTCCTCTGTTGCGCGCGCACCGCCTCCACTCCGTGCAGGTCTATTCCACCTACCCCCGTGCAGGCGTGCCCCCTTCCCCATGCACCTCCCCTCCGCCTGCGCGTGCCCCCTATCTCCGTCACCCGCCCCGTGTGCGAGCGTGTGGACCTTCTCCCCGCGCGCATTCCCTCCCCCTCCCCCGTGCATGCGCGCTCCCTCTCCCTGCGCCGCACGCGTTCTCTTCGCCCCTCTTCCCTCCCCTCTG